AAAAAAAGAATAGGTCGTGAGGTTAGTAATTGTTGAAGACCAATTATTGTACATTTGATTGGATCATAGTGGAATTTTTCTGGACTGGGTCCCGTGCTTTTTATCTCTCACGTTGAGGGAGTTTTCCATGTTAAAAAATTGTGTATTCTTTCTTTGTTCTTTTATTTTGTGGTTAATCCATTGAGAAATGAAGCTGATAGTGCGATTAGGTCTGAGTTTTGAGGCATTGTGTGGAGCAACGAGAAGCACTAAGTTGGTGGAAAAAGAAAAGGAAAAAAAAAACAGAGGTTGCCCTTATCAGAAAAAAAAGAACAGGGAAAAAAACAGAGCTTGACGATTATGAAAACCGAAATTAAGTAGGAGAAGTGGGGTGGATTTGAGATATGAAAACAGAAAGAGAAAGAGAGAATGGTTTTCTTCATACTGATGATTATTGATGCTTGTGCTCCATGCAACAATTGAAAAGACTATACCTGCGTGGAGTGCTCTGTTTTTGCAGAAAAAGAGCGGTCGTTGGTGGTGGCCACTCAGTTTGCTTGCAACTTTCAAAAATAAAAAAAATGTTATAAGACAAAAGGAAAACACTTGTTGTTAGTGAGCCCGGCGGAGTCAGCAACTTAAGCATAGAAGGACTTCCAGTATCTTGATTTCTTCAATATAATATAGAGTGAATTTGGTCGTCTATCTTCTTGGATGAAGTAACAGAAAAACACGGATGACAAAGTGAATTTTGGTGCAGAATACAAACAATGATCTCAGCAAAAGCAACCCAGCATTCATATGTATGAATCGGAGGACAAGACACAGCATTTTAGTTTAATGTAAATAGATTTTTATATCTCAAAGATTTAAAGGCAAATCCTCTTTTTTGGTGAGAATTATATGAAGTATTTAAGTGAGAGAAAAATATATGGTTGCATTTTCAAAATTTGGATTTTAAAATTTTTTTTCCAAAATATATGGTTCCATTTCCGAAATTTAGATTTAAAAATATATGGTAAATTGAGCAAAGTATGAGGATTGATTCAAGAATAAACCAAAAAAATAGGTAATAATTATAGGACCCAATTCGAAATTCATGAAAATTAGAAAAGTACTAAAACATCATTTACTCCAATGAAGTTATGCTGAAAGCAAAGTTGAAGGCATAAAGTTATATTCCGCAGAGAAAGTAAAATGGTGTGGTAGAAGTATGATATATATACCTTTCTTCAATTTTTGGAAAGTGTAGCCTCTATTATTAAATGTTAAGTTATCCATAGATTCCATTAATTGATCTACACGCAAATATATATATATACTACGAAGTTGAAGAGTCATAGCTTTAGCTTTATGCCACAACTTAAATTTCAAAGACAACTAAACTCATTTCCGATCACTACAATCTCCGCTATTGCAAAACCAATCTTTGTGTGTGTCACTGGTCTTTGAATCCTTCTTGGGCCTCCGATCTTAATTTCTTTGAATTTTCTGTTCGTTCATTGTTTTCTTTCTCATTGCCCTTCTAGCCCTCCAATCACTGGTTTTTTTTCCTTTCATTTTTCTGTCTGTTAATTGATAGTGTTGTTTTGTTGTTCTTTTCATTCAAAACAAAACAAAAAAAAACAAAGAAAGAAAAGAAAAGAAAAATTCTTCTTCTTCGTCGAAACCAGTTTGTGCCTTTTATTTTCTTCTTGTGTCTCCGTACCCATATAATTCTTCGTTGAATTCTCATTTCTTTGTCTGTTAAAAGAGCTTTTGTTGTTTTTCTTCTTTTGTTAAAAACCAAAAAAAATTTGCCTCTCTATTGATTATTGTTTCTACTCTCATCTTTGTTGATTGTTGTTATCATTGTTCTTCGATCTCCTTCTCGTTCAGAGAAAACAAAAAAAAAAAATTGTTTCCAAATCTTTTTTCTTCCTAGTACTTTGCAAGTTTTTCTCTTTATATATAAATTGCTCATTTGATTTTTCTCTCCACCGTTGTTCTCATAGTTCCTTTCCTTAAAAAAAAAAAAAAAAAAACCAAGACCGGCAAAACCCAAAAAACAGGTTTCATATCAAAGGCATTATTGTAGCTTAAGCGCATAGAAATCTGTGAAAGGTAAGATATGTACCCCATGATATTTCTGAATTAAGTTTGCATCATCTGATATATATATATATATATATATATTTATTTATGTGTATATATATGTATATATATAGTCTCTTGAACTTTCTACGTGCTTTTATTTTTCAGATCTTGCTGGTTGGTTAGTCGAAGCATACCTGAAGACTTCAATTCCTGCTTCCCGGTTAGTTTATGTGTCCATACTTTTAATGGTAAATTTCATTTATTCATAGAAATTCTTACACCCTTCTTAAATTATAAATTAGTGTGACTTATGTATTTTTACATGGAGTGCAAAATTAGCTGTGCTTTTTGTTTTTTAAACCATTTATGAAGAATGCGACTCTTTATATTTTCTGTATCTCATATGAATGTTGATATTGATGTAGTTTAGCTTCCTATATTGACAAAGTTTCTTGTTAATTTGTGTCCCTGTGAAAACAAGAATTACTTCGGGGTGGTTTGTTTCTTTTTTCTTTTTTTTTTTGTTTTCTTATGTTCAGAATAATTTTATAAAATTGTTTTTTAAAACAAGTTTTGAAAATAATAAAAAAATATTTTATATAATCATTTTAAGAAAATAATATTTGAAACCAAAAATATATTAAAAAATCATATTTGGCAATGGATAAGAAGAGCAAAAGGTTTTTCCAATTTTTCAAAACGAAGGATAAAAAATAAAAAACAAAAAAAAAATCTAAACATTGTTCTGGTCTTTTAGGTTTTAAAAACACATTACTGTTTTTTTCTAAAAAATAGCCAACTAAAAAAAATTGCCAAACAATTTTTTTGTTTTTTTCAACAAATTTTTTCCCCCCAAAATATGAAAGCAAAGAAGTCCTTAAATGCTTTTAGTTTTTTTTTATCAGTTTTTTAAGTAAATCTGTAAAAGTCACAATTGAAAAAAATTTACCAACATACATATATGTTTTATTTTTAAATATTGATGTTTTATTTAAATTAAATGAAAACGATGTCTTATAATTAGAATCAGAATTAGTGTTATCATTTGATTATGTTTTATCAACATTTGAAATTTTAATATCATTATTTTTTTGTTAACCATTTTAGGATTAAAGGACCAAAATATACTTTTCAAAGTTAAGATAATTAAATTAAAATCTTATATAAAATCAAATGACTGAAAATATAAGTTAGTCTTGGTTATATTCTTCATAATGTTACATCTCTCTATGCTTTTCATATTTAGTGTTGTGAATGTGATTATCTCCAAATAAAAATTTATTGTTGCAAAAATTTATTAAGCACTTTAGAAAAGCATAGTTGGTGTTAAGCATGGAGGGTCGAGCCAATTCGAAATAAAAATATTTAAAAATTAAAAAATTTAAATTTAAACCATCTAAATCTAATTAGGATGGTGTAATCTCATCATAATGATGGGTTACAGCTAGTGATAAGCTGGCAAGAAAAAAAAAGGCCCAGTGAAAACAATTGGAAAGAAAATTAAATTTGAATACTTCTGAAACGTGAAAAATTATTTACTTCGAGTTATGATATGTTAATTCCATACTTCACAGCAAAATAAAATGAAATAAATACTTTCAAACCCACACCCGTTGACTCACAGTGACAAGCGCTGACCAAGCATAGTCAACAATTATTTTTTACAAAAATATTTTTATTAACATATGAACATTTTAACATTTACAATTCAAACATACTACCATTTTAACTAATTTCTCTAATATACTCAAATTACTCAATTAACTTTTATATTAAAACCAAAGGTGGTATGTTTGAGATTTATAAATCAATCTTTAAGATTTACTAACTAAACCTCTCACATTTAAAAGTCAGATTTTTAAAATACTAATACTTTTACTAGTCAGAATACTTCATTTACAAGTAAATCTCCAACAAAAATTAATACTTTAATATTTAGAATTCGATTACTCAGATTTACATGTCAACTTCACAAGCTCATAAGTTAATTTACATTAGTGTTGTATTGGTTCTTCAAATATTATAAATAGATTTATAACTCAATTTCTTAAATTTTACAAATCATTTTCCTAAATGTACAAGCCCTAAGCATTCTTTACCTTGTTAAGTTATAGATTTTGAGTTTTGTCTTATAAATTTAAAAAGATGACTTGTAAATTTAAAAGTTGGTTATTTGTAACTTGATTTCTAAATTTTGAAAACTAATACATGAATCAGGCAAATTCAATTGTAAACTTACGAGTTTAACTAGTAAGTATAAGATATTGACATATAAACATTAAAGTATTAATTTTGTTTTTTCTGAAATTTACTTCTAAATTTAAGAAGTTCAGATTCAGTTATAAATCTACAATGTTTGATATGTAAATAATAAATTTAATATTTCAACAAAAATATTTCTAAAAAATATTTGTTAAATGGTCAATAGTTGTCGGTGGTGAGTAAACGCAAATCAACTTGGTCAAAAGCAAATGGCAGATATGAAATTTTACTAATGAAATTAATTATAACATATCAGTCTCAAAGAATTTGACAATATTTTAACAAATTCACCAAACTTGTAAGTAAGTGTCTTATTTAAAGATTACATGCAATTTTTCCTTTAGTTATGAAATTCCGGCTAGGGAAGTCATACAAACAAAAGAAATATTAAAAAAAAACAGAGCGAAAAGGGAAAAAATGAACAAGAAAACACTACTCTAAGAACATTCTCATAGGCTCGTTAAGCTGACTAAAGTTTGCAAACATTCATATATTCCGTTTGATGTAGTTTTTCCTAAGAAATTAAAAGACAACCCATCATATTATAAAACATACCACGCATCACTAATAATAAAATATTTTTCTGTGTCTATTTTATTGAAATCCTAGAACATGGTAGGTGTAGTTGAAACATACAATAGTGTAGTCAGTAGTCCCTTTTTGTAATTTATTCTGCATGTTAGATGGAGCCAATCGTAGAGGAGGTGGCTACCCATGCGGCCGAATCATTGGTAGATAAAGCAATGCAAGAACTCAAATACTTGTGTCGTTACAAGACCTACGTTGACGACTTCGAAGAGGAGAAGACAAGTTTGAGTGCAAGAAGAAACACAGTGCGTAAAGATATTGAAGATGCCAAGCACCGAAATGAGAATGAGGTTGAAGATGAAGTTGAACTGTGGTTAGAAAGAGCCAATGGTCTCATAGGAGAAGACACAAAAGGAAATAAGAAATGTTTTGGTTTGGTCACTAACTGCTTTTGGCAGTACAAGCGAGGCAAGGAGCTGGAAGGGAAGACGCAAAGGATTAAACAACTGATGGAACAGAGTAACTTCGCTCGTGTTGCTCGTTCGACTGGGCTTCCAGGCATCGAGTTCTATTCTTCTTCAAATTTTATGACTTTTGAGGATAGAAAGTTGATCTCTGAGAAGCTGAAGGAGGCATTGAAAGATGACAACAAGTTTATGATTGGATTGTATGGGCTAGGTGGAACAGGGAAAACCACGATGGCAATAGAAGTAGGTAAAGATGTGGCATCAAAGTTGTTTGACAAAGTCATCTTCAGTGTTGTCTCAAAGGATGCAAACTTGAAAAATATTCGGGACAACATTGCAAAACACTTAGATTTGCCTTTACCTGAAGGAAAGAATGAATCTGAGCAAGCGCAAAAATTATGGAAAAGAATAGCAGAAGGTGGAGAAAAGGTACTTATAATACTAGATGACATGTGGGAAAAGCTTACACTGCGAGATATAGGGATTCCTCCGGGCTGCCATGCAAGGGTCATTGTGCTGTTTTGCTAACCACACACGTGATTGGAGAGTTTGTAGAGATATGGGTTGCCATGAGATATTGAACTTAAGGTCTTAAATGAAGAGGATGCAGTTAATCTTTTCCTATCTTATGCTGGCATGAGCATAGATGGTCCTTCCAATGGATTTAAGGATGTGGCTAGAGGTATTGTGAAGGAGTGTGGAAGTTTACCAGTGGCAATTGTAGCAGTGGCAAGTGCACTAAAGTTTAGGCCTTTATCAGAATGGCGGGATGGTTTGAAAAGATTGCAGAATCATGAGGGAATTCACGATGTTCCAGAAGATTTAAAACAGCCTTATAACTCTTTGAGATTAAGCTATGATAATCTCAGGAATGAAAAGGCTCAAAAACTCTTCCTCTTGTGCTCTCTCTTCCCAGAAGATTATGAAATACCTATAGAATTTTTAACTAGGATTGCTATAGGTGTTGGCCTTTGTGGAGAACTAACACATACTCTGTTGCAAGGAGTCGTTTTCTCAAATTAAAAATGAGCTCATAGATTCCTGTTTGTTATTAAAGGTTGAGAATGAATGTGTCAAAATGCACGACTTGGTTCGGGAGGTAGCTCTATGGATTGGAAACAAACAGGTTCAAGCGGGCATGAATTCTAACTCAACTTTAATGAAAACATCCAATATTCATCTTGGAACATAGTTGACTTTCCGAATCATTTTGATGGTAAAAACTTGAGGTTCTTTTACTTGGATAAATGATGCAAATTCTCCTAGAGTCAAAGTTCCCGATGCCCCTTTGAAGGGATGGAGAACCTTAAAATTTTGGCTTAAGAGTTCGTCAAAATTGGAAATTTCAGCTGCTTCCTTATTCCAATCACCTTTGTCATTGACAAATGTTCGAACTTTGGCCATAAAGAATTTTAAGTCATTAGGAGATATATCTATTTTGGCAAATCTAAAAAACCTTGAGAGCCTTGAATTGAACAATTGTTTGATTATTGAATTGCCAAAGAAATTAAAGAACTTCAAAAATTGAGATTGTTGGAGATGGTGAACTGTTCTTTTACTGGAAGAAATAATCCTTTTGAAGTGATTGGAAGTTGCTGTCAATTAGAGGAGCTGTATTATGCTTCAAATAAGTGGATGATTATGACGGGCGAATTACAACACTTCCTACATTGCAAAGGTATCACATAGAGGGTCCTTTGCTGTTCTTAATTATAAAGTGGATTTTTTAATACCTAGATATTTTAATTCATGGGGCTTAAGAGTAGACTTCACCAACGAAATATTTAAACTCCTGTGGCAAGAGCAGAAGTTTTGATTTTAGAGGAGATTACTACAACAGAGGATGGACAAATATTGTTCCGGAAATCTTATCTGTGGAGGATGACAACATGAAAGATCAATTAACTAGGCTCTCTTTGTATTCAATGAATGAGATAAGTGCCTAATCCATACCGAGAATCTTCGCCTGGTGTGGCTATCTTCTCCAAGTTGGTTGAACTGACGCTTGATTTTGGGCTGTGAGAGAACTATGCCATGGGCCTTATCCTGTTGACTTTTTGAAGCAATTAGGGAGCTGCGGTTGCTTGGATGTAGACAACTGGAAGGCACGTTATTTGATGGCAAGCTAGAGCTGTGTAATCTTAAGTCCATATCTTTAAATGCATGTTCAATGACATGCCTTTTTCATGCATCCTCAGCACAGAGCTTAATGCAGTTGGAAACATTGGAAATTCGATCATGTTTGAAGTTGAAATACATAGTAGCAGAGACTATGGATGATCAGGATCCTAATCAAAAGAGTCATGACTCAATGTTGCCAAAATTGAAATATCTCACGATCTACTATTGTGCTGAATTAGAATTTATATTGCCAATATGTTTTGCGAAGACCTTCCACTACTAGAAAGTATGAAGATTGTAGATTGTGAGAAACTAAAATACGTATTTGGGCAATATCCAAAGCATAGAGATTTGCACCAAATGGGGAAAGAAGCCATCCTCCATTGCTAGAAGTATTGGTAATTTATGAGGTACCGAATTTCATCAACATATATGCAGAATGTTATCTCCCACGGCCTTGTTCTGATGAAGTTCAAAAGTCATCTCCAAGGCAAAAGCAGACGGCAGTAGCAATCTATCAAGGGGTCATCTATGTTGTTTTTGGGCAAAATCAAAAGCCTCAACTATACGTCACACTTTTGCTCCCATGGACACTCAATCAAACCATAATCAGGTAATATCATTACTCTATTTTGTTTAAATCTTTATTTGTATAATGTATGAATCACCCAAATATGCTTTGCTAAACTTCTTCTTCTTGTATATATGATGAGAATATCAATTTGTCTTAAAGTAACAAAATTAATTTTGCATTTCTCTTTTTTTTTTTCCAATCTAATTGAGACACTAGGCACAGTTGGCAAAAACCAAAAAATTCGCTCAAATAT